GGCTTGACATGAATGTTCATGTTGTATGATAGTCGTACATATAAAGCACATCACAGGTACCGTACAGCCTCCTAGAACTTTTCCTTCTGTATTTCCTGACTCTTGGGGTTACATGTGTGGAAACACTTACAACATTGAAAAATCCAAGTCCAATTATCAGAGCTGTCAATTTCCTTTCTTTTTTTAATACTTTTTGTTCTTTTACACATGATATTAATGATAGCAATAACAATGCATGGCATATCATTTGATGGTATTATTGATAAACAATAAATAACCCAACTATGCTTATTTTGGGGTCTGTAGTATCAGTTAATAAAGACACATGTGGGAATACACTGCATTAGCATTAGAAATATGTTCTAAATACACAAGGGCAGAGCTGTGGTTCCTGTAAAACCACTGATGGTTGCAGAACAAAAACCCTCCTGTAAGGTAAATAATGGATGGAGTAAGTAACAGCCAGATGCAAGCAAGAAAAAAAATACATTCAGCTGAGTTTTGCGAAGAGCTGGGGTGGGGGAAGGAAGAAAGCAGAAGAGACTTTGAGTCAGGAAGGTACATTCAACTTAGAGGGGCTTTCTAAAAGGTGAAAAGTTCCTGAAGCAGCAAGAAAATGCAGAGGAGGACAGATTTCACAAAGGAAGGCTCTGGAGAACATATCAAACAGTACGAGGGTTAGCAATGCGGGTAAATTGTTTTCCCAGTGGGCTGTTAAAGTCACTGTTCTCAAATGTGATAGAGACAGGTGCCATCCTCATGGATGTCAAAGATTGCAGGAGTCTAAATGAGCAGGGAGTTTATTTAAGAAAAACAAAAAATAAAAAACCCCACCCAGGAACCCTTATTATGTAGTCAGAAATAATTACGGGAAATTTTGGTCTTTTAAACATACTGCTGCATTGCCATCAAACAAGACTTTAACCATAACTTAGAAGTTCATGCCTATTAGCTGTAGCTTTTTGATCTGGAAACTCAGCTATAATTATTACACAAAAACTCTTTCTCTAGGTCTCCTGCAGTTCTCGGATCCAACTGGCTGAAAGCCACCATGAGACCAAAGTTTCTTAGAGAATTTTTTAAATGTCCTTGTTTTATTAACCTTTCTTGACAAAAATGAACTAAAATTCTGAATGGAAAAATTACTGTACTTAAAAGCAAACAAAAGAGACCATTTACATGTAAAGTGGTGTATGTCATTGCTCCATCTCAGCTGATTTACCTACTCCTGTTACAGGTGTTTTCCTAAAAGCAATAAACCCTTCTGATGCAAATATTTCCTTCCAGAGCTGTGACGTATCCCTGATATATATTGCCTGTTCAAAATAGACAAGTACTGAAAACAGCTTTTTACATCACTGCAAATATAAACCAAGATCTAGCAATTACTTCTCAGATAATAGTTTTTCTCTTGGAAAGATAATCTTCTGGAACAGATATATTCAATAGATCAGGATAGTCCTGGACAAATAGGTTTGATAAATGACTAGCTAAGTCTTACAGGCCAAAACTCTTAAATATGACACAATAAGCATAGCACAAGGATGTGAGGTAGTCAAGCTGTGACTGAACATCATATCCATGGACAGTCAGTGGATCGTGGGCTTCAAAGTTTTATATAAGTTTAGCAGGTTTTTTCTGCATTTTTTTTAAATCATATTGTTCAGAAGAATAGGGAGATTTGTAACATGCTTATCAACACAGAGAGCCCCATAGGAGTTTTTTTTAATTTATTTTTTCCCAAAAAAAATTACTTCCATAGCTATTCAGCAGCTGTGGTAATTTGAAAGTTTTATCCAGTTCCTATTAATGAATTATTGTGTCAATATATTATAGACTTAAACCAACTGCTACCACTTTCCAGCATGTTTCTCAGGCCTTTTGACAGCTCTAAACGTTTCTGGAATAAACATAAATTTTTCAAACGATAGGACTGTGAGAACCAAGAGTGCTTTGCACAGCAAGAGTGCTGGGGGATCGCAGCTTTATAACCAAGTGGGACCCTGAAATCTGACATCAGCTTCCAAAGCCACACTCATCAGCACCTTTGACCTTGTTATTGGGAATATGAACAGAAGCATAGCACACCCCCAAGCCAACCAGAACAGGTCAGATTTACTTACATTGAAGGAGAGCAAACCACCACATGTAACTATTTCCACAGCACTAACAGCATCAGGCACGCCATGGCTCGGTCAGCAGCAGCGGCTCCCTAGCTCTGCTTTGAGGCTAGCAGTTTTGACACTGAGTCTGTGAAGAGTAAAACACAGCTCTGGGGTTTCTTTTCTATCTATGAGGTTTTAGCTATATAGCTATAGGTATAATATATAGGCATCACCTGGTGCAAATGATATTCTGAAGCTCAGAAAGTTGCCTATAGTCATCTTGGGAGCCTATATCAGGAAGGCTGCTGGCACAGTGTTAGACTTTGCTCTTTCTACTTGATCATGACGATGCAAGGATAAGACATTTGCAGCCTGGATTCATCTGACCAATTTTAGACTCCTAAGTGTTTTGAGGTGTGATTCATCCCAGGAGTGAGATCAGACAAGCTATTTTACTTCATCAACCCTAATAGAGGTCAAGGGTGCTTAGCTGAGACACAGACACCTGCACTGTGGACGGTTTCAGTTAGGGATCCAGCAGGTATCTCAAGTCATCTAACTTCTCTCTAGCCCCATGTCTCAAAAAACAAAGTGCTACAGGGAAAGTTATATTAATAAATCCCAAAGCCAGGCAATGCATTTGTGAAGTACCATGGGATCCATGTGAACAGACTGGGAATCACAGCTTCAAGGCTCGTAACTTGCAAGATGACCAGATTTTTCAGAAGTTTCTGTTCCCTTGAAGGAGAAGCCATGTCTGTTATTACACCAAAAATTGCTTTAAGCATCCAGCTGTTTTACACTCATTAAAATTCACCCAGCTACCGCACATTCCAAAGCACAGGAACAGAGACACATTTACTAAGATATATTTACACTAATCTGACCCAAATCAGTGCTACTCATCCAGGATCAAATTCCATCCCAATGTGAGCAGCCAAAGTGAGTTAAACTTGCAACATAAAGTGCCGCCAGAGTCCCATTTTGAGAACTCAAGTATCATTTAGGAATTGTGCTGCTTTTCTGCAGCGAGCACAGGTCTAGTCCTTGAGATTTATTCTCCCATTTTGTGAGGGAGAGCCATACAGCCTACCACACTCTGCTTCCTAAGAAGGACATTTCACAGATACGCTGCAAGCATGATTGGATGATCACTTTCTCAAGTTGTGTGGACCAATTCTCAACAGCTACTTGTCAAGCAGGGCCAGATGGTTGAAGGCATTTAAGCATTGCAAGGCCTAAACAAGTAAGGAGCTAATATCACATTACTCACTCAGAGAGCCATCTCTTCTTCACAGCACTCTCCCCCAAAGAAACAAAGCAGAAGTTCCTAAATGACCTTGGACGTGGAGTGCTGCACAGGGAGTCCCAACCTAGCACCGAACATTTTAGTCACTGAAACAACTTGCTGAAGGTGCATCATTGCAGCTTCCACGCCAAACTAGAGGGCCTGCTTTTCTGCATTCCCCTGGGGGAATTGTGGCAGCTAGGAGGGTGTACAGAAGGGACAGATAAGACATACCACTGAGAGACTTAGCTATATCTTACTCTGCTGTGTAGGTATAGCCTCAGGATCACAAAGGTGGAACTCTCAACTCCTTCAACACCCTTGCAACACTAAACAGAAGGGGTATTTACAGCCTTTAAAAAACCTAGTCTTCATTGCCTGAAACCCTACAGCAAGATTGCTTGCCATCTGCCTAATTAAACTGACCATTTGTCCCTATTAGAGGCAGCTGTGCTACTTAAAGCAATTAAGGTGGCACAGGAGGGAAGTGACATTTTTGGTTTGGGAAGAGAGAGTTTGCAGCACTGACAGCATTGAAACATTCATCACTATGAAGAGGTGACTTTCTTAATATGTAACGAAAAAAGGCATTCACCAAACATGAGCCCTTTCAGAAGTTCAAATTCAAGAAATGTGTTTTCTTAAAGATATCCTTTGTTCCTATTGAGGAGATTTGCACCAAATAAAAGAATTGTGTCTCTGACAATGCAAAGCATTCATAGTCACTGGCCACAGTTTTACAGCATACGCATTTGCCTTTTGATACAGGACATCTGTGAGCTAGCAACAGTAATAAATCTGAATGTTAGCACAGATCATTTTCCAAGTTTTAGGTCAAATGCTATCAAATTTAACTTATCAGCTCATTAAGATAAAACGAGCCATTTTGTCATTAGCTTTCTGATTAGTTGCCTGGTTCCAGAACCTGGGACACAGTAAATAGGTTCCTTTTTTTCCTGTAGCATAGTGTGAATGCTTAATGCCCACTGGTTATCCTTATAAATCATACACAGGGAAATCACTGCTTGAGCCCTCGCTAGAAGAGGGGAATGTGATGATTTCAGCATGTTTCAAAGAGACATTCCTAAAATAGCTAACTGTTCTGTAATTTTATCACAGTATAAGGCCTGAGCTTAGTGGTTAGGTTCACTGGTTTGCAACCATACTGGTTTGATCTTGTCAGACTTCAAGCTATGCAGTGATAGGCTTTTGAGCTGGATACTTTGAGAGTAGCGGTATTTGTGTTTCACAGGTGGCAGCCTTCCCTATGAGCAAACATGAAAAATGGGCTGCAGCCTTGCAGAGCTCTTTGCCACAGGAAACTCTGTCCTTTTGTTGGGCGCAGAGTGCAGCGTCCACAGGCGCAGCCCTTTGCAGGTATAAGACATGGGAAAGAAAGAGTTGTGCCATATGGGGAGAGGTAACATAGTCACCATTGTAGAAAGAAGGACTTGAGTGTGCTCCAGAATGCCCGGAAGAGCTCCAACAAATAAAATTTAGTGAAGCTGTATGCCACATCTCAGGTCTTGTGCTGGGGTAGCTGTAAGGAAGGTACAAAAACAATTACCTTCTTTTAATACATTTCACAAAATGTGTTCTTATTTTAGAGTCTACATATCGTCACCAGGCTACCATTGATGATGAAGTGGTTTCCATGGAGATACTAGATACAGCTGGTCAGGTGCGTGGGTACATATACTATTATCCAATACCTTGGCTCAGATAGACAGCACTGAAGGGGAGTGCGGTGGGTGGCAGGTGTGCTCCACTTCTGGGGACAGAGATTTGCTTCTGAGCAGAGCTCCCCCTCCTCCACCACCATCAGCTTGCTGCTGGACACAGCATGCTGGATCCAGACCCTTCTGCAAGGGACCCTGCTTAGTTTTCGAACACTGGAAGAACAAAAAAAGTCAGGGTTTACTCTAGGATTAAAATGATTTTGTTCTCATTCCTTGATTCAGGGCCAACCCAACAACACGTTATTACTATGCATGAAGTCACAGTCTATTTTTACAGTCAAATGATGAGGCTTGACAGCCTCAGTCAATGATTCCCACCAAAGTGAAGAGCCAGTTTTGTCATAGCCAGGTCCCCCTTACTTTCAAAACATGGCAGATGCTCACGCTGCACAGTCCTATGCAGTTCGTGTGCTGGGTATCATTCCACAGAGACCCTGTTCCAATTGCCTGCTACCAGCCTGCCCACAGGCAGCCCATGACACCTTGGTAGAGTAGATCTCCTGTGCTACATGAAAAAAAGGTGATGTGCATAAAGTATAAAGTAAAGCAGATGTACATGGCTTTGCAGGCTTTGGAGGACCAACTTCTATCTGAAGGCCTGGTGTCTTCTTCATAGATCAAATTCCTAAGGCTGGTGTCTGTCTTTTCAAAACAGGAGGATGCTATTCAGAAAGAAGGACATGTGCGATGGGGTGAAGGCTTCGTGCTGGTTTACGACATCACGGACAGAGGCAGCTTTGAGGAAATGCTGCCACTTAAGAACTTGTTGGATGAAGTTAAAAAACCCAAAAATGTCACCCTGATCCTGGTGGGGAACAAAGCAGACTTGGATCACTCCAGGCAGGTCAGCACAGAGGAAGGTGAAAAGCTGGCCACAGAACTAGCATGTGCTTTTTATGAGTGCTCTGCTTGTACAGGAGAGGGCAACATTATGGAGGCCTTCTATGAGCTCTGTCGTGAGGTACGGCGTCGAAAGATGGTCCAGGGCAAGACTCGGAGACGAAGCTCCACCACCCACGTCAAGCAGGCAATTAATAAGATGCTTACCAAAATCAGCAGCTAAAAAGAGCTGTACTAAGCCAGAGAAGCATTTTAGAGTATATTAGCTTGGAGTAGGGACGAGGCAGGCAGAGCACATTTAATTAAAAATGGTGAAAGCTTTGCAATTAAAAAAATAGAAAAGACAAACCACACCACTTTTTGAGTAACACGGGGTCAGACTTTTTTCCTGTTTCGAGATGTATTTAGCCACATTCCTTCTGGCTAACATGGAAAAAAAAAAAAAGGAAAAAAAGAGCAAACTCCAAAGGACTAGATGATTGTGGGGATTGGCACTGATAGAGCGTCTTCTGCTTCTACAAGGCTGGCTCCAATCCTCTGCAAGTCAGTAGTGCCTAAACATCATTTCCAGCCAGCCAGCTGCTCAGTAGCCATTGGAGAGTAAGATTCAGTCCTCAATCCATCAACAACCATCACAACCAGTGTTCTCAAGGACTGAATACATGTAGAGGCTGCTGTGTTTTACCAGAAAGTTCATCTGACACCTTTCACCAGCTCTAAATTGGCGCATTGTGTGCTTTTACTCCAAACTGTCCTTCCTTGTTGTTATTTTTGTCAAATTTATGAGTGCTGATGTTCTTAGCAAGGTATACAAAAAATATAAGAAAGGTCTTTTTCATGGAGCATTTAGCCAGCAAGACACACATTTCAACAGAGCTGAAATTCAGCTGCTTTTCCAGATCCTCTGAAACTGCAGAATTCATCAAGAAATAATCAGCTAGTCCAGTGGCATTTCAGCATTTCCCCCTCAAAGTGCAGTACTGTACTTGGGGAAATGGGAGTTTATGTGTTGGGAAATTAAACTAAAAAAAAAAACCATATTACTATTGATTTAGTTATGGGTAGTTTTTAGCTTTTGTTTACTTTTTTGTTTTGGTCTTGTTTCAATTCAAGTAATTCCTCTTATTCTATTTTATACCGAAGAAGAACTGAATCCATGGGAAGGCAAGTATTTAAAGTCTAAGCCCAAATGTAAATCAGATGTGAATGGCCTCTACCATATCAAAAGGCCATAATTTCCAGCTGTTTAAACTTCCAGATGCTGCTTGAAGCACTCTGTGGTTTAAACCAGCACAGGTTTTTTGTGACTCTATCTGGCACATTCAATTGAAAGTGCATTTTATCATATTTTTCATGCCTGGGATAAAAGGTGTCCAGTTTTTTCTCCTCCATTCTCCTCCCTCATGTGTCTCATTTAAGCCAGCTGTCAAGTTTTGCCTTGTTACTTGGCTTGTTAACTGTATGCTAAGAGATGCAGGAACCAAGACTGAAAGACTTCATGCAGATTGTGCTCGTCTCCCACCAGTTGTGTTGCATCCCTTTAGGCAGTGTGGTGTGCAGCTCAGGCTGGCATCATGTAGAACCACAGCCAAAGGCTGGGATGACAAATGGGAATATTAGCAGTATTCTCCTTAAGGAACAGCCCTCTTGTAGCAACTACTTATAACTTTATTCTCCACTGCTTTGTACTGCACATGGTTATTTGACTCTGTGAGGAAATAACACCAAAAGACTATCAAACACAAATTGCCACAGGTGTAGGAGAGTGAGGATATCTGGTTGGATGGCACTTTATACAGTTATAGGTAGCCATATAAGAGGTGGAACTGGCTGGAGAATCAAGCCTGTATATCCCTGTGGACAGCGAAAAGTCCCAAGTCAGGACTTTTCAAAAGGATTTGCTTAAAGATACTTTACCAAAGTAAATTTTTTTAAACATTCTCTCACCCATATCTTTTACCCAGCCAGCATCAAAGAACATCACATTCAGGTGTATATTTTATTTGTACTGTTGTTTGTTTTCTCTGTTTCCCCCATTCTAGATAGTGAAAATTCATTCCACTCTTCTGGAATCAATATCTGTATTTTGGTCCTCATGTTCGGGTGTGTTGCCCTACACCAGCTACACACACTGCAGTGGAAACTTCACCATGTGCTTCTGGGCAGGGGGTTCTTGCAACAGGTGACGTCACTATCTCCGTGACACACCTGTGCCCAAACTATTGGTCATATCTCTAACTTTTGTTAAAAAAAAAGAGAAGTTTTGCCATTTTTAGTCCTATTAGTAATGCAGAATCAATACGAGTGTAAAAGAACGAGCTAGTGCCTGTTCACGCACCAGTAGTCATTAGCTGAAGGTCTGAACTTGCAAATGTGTATGTTGCGTTAGGAGCCAGAGCGAGCATTTCACTAAGTCATTCTGTTATCTTTCAAATCAGTGCTGTTGCACGAATCTGAAGTAAACAAAATCCTTACCTGCAATCCCATGGCAACATAGCTGAGAGGAAAGTCTTTATGTCGGTATGCCACGCAATTGATTTATCCCTCTCGAAGACCACTTCAGCAGTTCTTTTCTCTGAAAACCTTTCTTGGGGTTGAGTTGAGCTGCATTTAAAATACAAAAAGGTAATATATGAATGACGAGAAAAAAAATTAATCATATTCATATTAGGAGAGTTCAAAGGAAGGAGGGGCTAAGTTATAGCCCTAATACTTTCCGAAAGAATTTCAGCAAACTGTATCTTCTTTTATGTCTGTATGGAGCAATTATAAAATCCTGGTGAAAGAAAATGTTCCACTGTGCAAACATGACTTGTTACATAAAGAACCTCTAATAAATATAGTAACATTCCTTTGCAAAGACTGAATTTGGAAACTGCCGAACATGATAAACACTCAGTCAAAAAGGAGGCTGCTATTTCGTGACCTTTCCTCCCACACAAACACAAATTTCTTTACTTAATTGCTCATTAATTTTTTTCCTTGGTGTAATGGGCTGCTTGTCAAGCCAGTTATGATATGGTATATTATAATCTGTTGATACATATTACATAGTATTAAATGCAATCTGATTTACTGTTGCTCACAATGTTGCAACATATTATTGGCTATGCTATAAATGTGTCATATTTCTGCAATGTGCAAATTGAGCCTAAAAGTGCCCCAGCATTGAAAAGGCCAAATGCAACATGAACCCACATTCGGTAGCCTTTTTGCAGCAGACATCAACAGTTTAAATTCTGTTTCTACTGCTGCTATTTAAATGTACATATATGACACTAACATTGAATTCCTCTCCTCTGCCCGTTATTTCTGTGGAGAGAGGATGGGAAGGACAATAAACAAACAGGGGGAGGAAAGGTGAAATGGATACTTGTTACCTACAACAAGTTGATTGTCATTTATGAAGTTTTTAAATATTTATCTTCAATTGATGAAGAGTTAGTCATGCCCATGCTGCAAGACCTGGATCAGGAACCAAGACTTCCCTAGAACTTTGAGAATCTTCATATCTGGGGGTTCGGTGCAACCACGGATGGAAGTGAGGATCAGCCACTGGGTTTGCACTTGGATCCAGACAAGTTGTCCCCAAACCTGGGGATAGTTGCATCTGGCAGTTTGCTACAAGGCTAGTTGATTTTTATATATATAATGATCTGTATGCATTTTTACATTAAAAATATGAAAGCTTGTGCTTGTAGATAATATATAAGAAAAAATAAAAATAAAAATAAAAAAATAGCGATCTCTGTACTGAACTCTTACACATTGATCTTCTGTTAGTTGTCTCTGAAGTGTTGTCTTCCAGCTTTTATGGGGCCAGTTCCAGAAGTCCTGATTCAGTTTTTATTTAATCTTTATCTAAGGAAAACAAACAGTGAATTTTGCCTGAATAAGCACTTCAGCATTTGGATCAGTTTATTTGAATTTATTTGGCTGCTAGGCCTGGAATCAAGAGGTCAAGCAGCATCTACAGTGAAGCACAGAACCGAATGTCCTTGCTAACTATTTCAAGGCTGATCAAAAAAAGCTACAGTGCCAGGGTTATCAAATTACGTCAGTGAAACCCACCACCTAAACTCTGTCCTGCCAACTAAATAACATGGATCTTGATCCCAAGCTTCTCAGGTAAAATTTTGGGCTAAGAGGTCTGGGAGATTTGTGCCAGTGATTTGGACAGAGACAACTTTTCACCTGCTGCCAGCTATGCCCATTTTCCAAGGATAATGGCGCTGTTGTTCTGAAGAGAAGGTACATTATATGTACCTTATGTAAGGTACATTATATAAATGGTATATAATCACACATAGTGTGGGTATTAAGGTGTAGCAGAGGAAGCGTCATCACGGAAGAGAGGAACCAGCTGTAATCCACTCTCTTGTTTTCCTCCAAACCTGAGCCAACCAAGTAACCCAAAGTATGATCATAAACAGCTGAACGGCAGTAGGGGTATAAGAATGCCACCTCTGGCAGACCACTGCATGAAATCTGGGTGCAGGATCTATGCTGTGAGGTGAAACCTCACAGAACTAGGTAAGGCATCCTTCTAGTCACTGTCTGCCTCTAGCACTGCAAAGCAGCCTTGAGTTATGTCAAGCTGCACTATAACTTGCTCCAGTCAAAATAATATTTCCTGCAAAACAAGTACCTGCAGTCATAAAGGCTATGTATAAACAGTGTTTGGGGTTCCTTTTATCTTTCTCTTTAACAGCTCAATCCATTTGCATATCTTGAGAAGAAAAGAAGAAAGATAGAAGCTTTAATTAAAAAAGGCTCGTTGGGATTTTGATGTATCTGCCTTTATGTTCTTTGAAATATTAAACATATAATGAAAACAGTGTCATCTTAGAAACTCTGATGTTACGCACTTTATTTCCATTACAGATGCCAGGCACTAATTACTGCAGGGTTATGAAAATACAGAGCAGCGGCTTGTCGTCCTGTGCTTTGCAAGGTTACTAGGAGGCGATAACGATGGCTTGTGTGAGGCCAGTTCAGTCTGGTTTCTGCTAACACAGTTCCACGTGAGGAAAGCTATTACTGCAGCTTGCAGCAGAAAGAGACAGGCTAAGTTCCCGGGGCAGGACTTCACTGACTCCAGCGGGGTTATGCATGGGATGGGCCAAGCCCCTGGTTCACAGCCTTGGTAGCCAACGTGGAGAAAACGCTCCAATAGCCAACCTCTCTCATCCACTTGAAGAATCTGTCCTCCATTTTTGGTCTGAAGTAGACGGTAGGAAACTGGGAGGTAAGTTTAGGCTGCTGACTGTCATCTATTGAATCAGAGAATATGATGGGAGTTTGGTCATCTGCCTTTTTGGACTGGTCTCTTTCACCTCCACTAGATTCCCCAAAGCAGCATTTTTCTTTTCCCACTGCTATTGTTTTAAAATAAGGGGCTTTTTAAATGGCAAGTGTCAATACACTCTGATATCCAGGGATGTTGTATGGGCCAAGAGGCTGTGCTGCTTCTTGGACCCTCTCACAGGAATGCAGTATTTACAAATGCCTCTGGATGTAAATTCTTAAAGCTGAACACAGCTGTTCTGAAGAGCTGGAAAACATTTTTTTTTTATAAGCGTTCATCTCATAATTATAGTACAGACCCCTTTGTCAAGTACCACAGTCCTAAACCAGACTGAAACATTCTGTATCACTAGGAGCAGCTATGTCCTACCGTGAAATATTAACATGCAGAATAATAAAAAAAATGAAAACAATTTGTAGACAGACCTCAAATTATACCTCGCAGACCAAACCTACACATTTTTTTCATTTTTAATTTTATTTATGTAGTATCAGGAATTTACAGAACCTCATTTCAAAATCCAGCAAGTTCTAGTTACTAAGAATACATCAGTAAAGTAAAAATTAATGGTTTATTATCAAACTACTTTGCCAGTACACATGGTTTAGCTCCATCCTGCTTCCTCTAGCCTAGTCAAAGCTGTCATTGCTACAAGGAATACCAAGAAGACACAGAAGGAAACTTTGACAGGAAAAAATTCAAATAAAAGAAACAATAA